GAGTGCCGCGTGGGTGAAGGCCTTCTGCACCTCTGCCAAACATCCGGGCCCACTCTTCAATACCTCACCTTCATTCCAAACCCCGATTCAGTCCAAGCCTCCAAAACATCCAACATGCTCCTCGCTTGAATGTTCTTGACCCTCCTCTTGCCATGTCCTGTGTCATCAAGGGGCATCACCGTCTTGTTGATATTTACTCAACCAGCGTTAGGCAAGTCGACTTCGCTGCTCGAACGCTGTCACACTTCGACTCTATGCCGCACCCGTCACCAGCACCTCGTCGTCCCTAACACTACGTACGACGTCTTCAAACAACAATAGGAAGGCTAGACTCATGTCGTCGATGTCCACTGTTCGTCAAGTTGTTGGGCCTCTGGATTGGGCGGACTCGACTGTCAAAGCATCGTGCAAGGACTCAGCTGCATATGGGTACAAGAGGTGGAACGACGCCGACACCTATTTCAACAGTGGTCTACCTACCCCTCCCACCTCAAAAGCCATGTCTGGGGTGATGCTAGGTAACAGCTATGCCGGTTACCCTCTGCCGACTTACCAGCAAGAGCACACCGGCCTATCAGACTCCACCCATGCTGCTCAACAGCATCGAAGCTCAACCACAACCTCGTCCCTGCCCAACCCGTACGCACTGGTCCCTCCCACGAACGGAACAGGTCTCTACAACCGGCGGGCGAACGATGAGAAAGAAGTGAACGCAATTGCACCACACCTACAGATACCAGAGTCTGTGAACAAGAGCAAGGGAAGCCTCGCGGAATTTGCGGCAGAAATTACATGCCTATTCTGGTTCGAAACCTCCAGCACACTGCAGTACGCAGAAAGTCTGCCCGAGGAGGCAGCGGTAGATCGAGGGCTGCTGCCGGACGCCATACCCTCGATCGGGTTTCGGAAATGGGTAACAACGATTGTGAGCACCACACAAGTTGGCAGAAACGTCATATTACTAGCTTTGATGTTCATCTACCGACTCAAAAGATTCAATCCGTCTGTTAGTGGGAAGCGGGGAAGCGAGTTCCGGCTGCTGACCATCGCCCTGATGCTGGGCAACAAATTTCTCGACGACAACACCTACACAAACAAGACCTGGGCAGAGGTTTCGGGCATATCTGTGACTGAAATCCATATTATGGAAGTGGAATTCCTCAGCAACATGAGATACGATCTTTACGCCTCGGCCGAAGAGTGGAGCCTGTGGAAAGCCAAATTGGGAAGGTTGGGCGCGTTCTACCAGAAGGCCTCGCAGCTACCGGTGGTGGACGAGACCAGAGCACTTGGGCCGACCCCGGTCACTCCCACTGGGCAGAATTTCTCCCACAAGCTTCCTTCGCCTCCTTCTACGCATCACAGCGTGAGCCCTTATGGTGTTTCAAATCATCTGAGCAGTCACTATCCTGTACTGCCACATCCTTCATCGTCAGCACTACCACTTCCAAACTCGCCACTGCGACAACAGGTCGATCTCAGGGGATATCGGCAAGATCGGAAACGAAGTGCAGACTACTCTGCGGAGCTTCCTCCGGCCAAGCGGCAACTCTTCGCTGGCCAGCAGTCCGGCCAAAGTGGTAGCCTGGCGAGTTCCCATCCTTACCCTCAAACTGGTCTCAGGGTGTCACCTACTCGGTCCTCCGGCATACCAGATCCAGCTTTATTTTCTACCTCTCAGGATATTCCGAGATTGGATATCCCGAGGTTGCCGGCTTCAATACCACCTTCGGGCGCTCCACTACCTCTGGTGTCAGCACAACCTAATCGCGCGTTGTCAAGCGTGTATCCGACCACAAGCAATGGCTATTCGCATCCTGTGACCCCCATATCTGCAGTACCTCAGAATCTCCTCCAGAATGCAATTCCCAGCTTGAATGACGGCCACAGATCGATATCAAATTATCCCTCGGCACATACTTCACCTTCTACCGGATACAATACCACTACCCCCACTCTCCCGGGTCTGTCGCCGTCATACTTCCTGACTCACCGCACTTCTCCATATCGACCAGTTCGCCACGTCAACACACTTCTGATTCCTCCCCCTGCTGCGGCACTACAGGTACCCGTCCGGAACATCCCATCTGACCAGATGCATTATCAGCCTCTGAGCAAAGCCGGTACGGAGCGCAGGACTGGGCTCCTCCCCTTCTTGCAACTGGACGGCTGGCACAACAGCAATGTTTCGACACCCGTTGCTCAACAACAGTATCAATTCTAGATGATGCGGGAGTCTGTACACCTACGTTTTTCTTTCCATCTGTTAGCTCGAGGGTGACTCCATCATTTTACATGCATAGCGTGGCGGGGCCTGGCCTTTTGTCTTTCCGTTCTCAAAAGCGTATTGCTTAGCAGCAGCATTGCGTACGGCGCCGGGAAAAGAGGGCAATATGGCCACATGGCATCATACGGTGAGGCCGGACACATGGTTCGACCAAGCCTGAAGAACTGTACAGAAATAGACATTTGGCCTATGTTGGCCAAAGACGATCCTCAAGACCCAAGGAAAGTAAACTTACGAGGTCATCCACTTCCTGAATCTCTAAATATCTCCTGGCATCACTCTGTCTTCACTTGTGTAGCGTCCTTTCCAAACGTAGACCATCAGCTGCCGTCCTCCTGACGTTCACGTGACAGCAGTTAGGACTTGCGTCGTCCGGAAGAACTTTGGTCCGAAATAAGAATGAGTGTGAAAGGCACCTCCACTCCGTGTCAGAGCAATTAACCGATCGCGAAACAGTGGCAATGGCATTGCTCACGGACTAGATCGGCGAGCACTTGTGGTGTATAATGCAGTGTCAAGGTGGACAGCCAGCCGCTGAGGATGCGCCGGACGTTATTTCTCGTCTTTATCCACGGGTTCAAAGTGAGTCCACTACATCTCTGGCAAAATATTGGTGCGCGTCATCGAGATCTATGCCCTGCGATTACTCTGCTCACCACACTCACCAATACTCTGTGTTGTTGTTGTACTGATAGCTTAGGGCGGCGATGACACCTTTGCTGCCTTTCCGGAACATCTTCGAGCGCTCGTCAGCCATGCTCTTCCGAACATCGACGTCGTCACTGCGACATATCCCAGGTTCGAGACGAAAGGTGAATTAAAGGAATGTGTGGCTCGCTTTCGAGAATGGTATGTGCTGCTATTTCGTCCGAAGGGTCCGAGCGGAATCGTTAAGAGCTGTGATACCAGGCTACAGGACAAGGTCATAGACCTCGAGGTCGCTCGGTCGACCCCATCCCCTACAGTCGACCCTTCGGTCCACGTCATCCTGGTTGGACATTCGATGGGCGGTATAGTTGCGGCAGAGACATATCTTCTTCTGGCAAGTGAGCAACCCATACCGGCAGCGTCATCAGCCCAAAACCCAGAGCGACCAAACTTCCCCTCCAACACGACTCTCGGCTCGACCACTTCCACGTCGCACCCTACTCCTTCCCGCAGCGACCCTGCGTCGCACCGACATTCCTTCATGTTCCCACATATCCAAGGCATCCTGGCTTTCGATACGCCCTTCCTCGGCCTGGCACCTGGCATGGTCGCCCATAGCCTTGAAGGAGGTCATAAAGTCGTTGCAAACGCCTACAATACCTACAATGAAGTGACATCAATGTTCAGCTGGGGCACCAAGTCCGAACCCAACGTCGCATCTGCAGGAGCTGCGAGGTCTAGGAATATGCAAGCCCTCCCCGCGCCAGTCTCGGCCTCTACCGGTGATGCTGCGGCTACCCCCAAGTGGCAGTCATGGGGCAAGTATGCTATGTTTGCCGGCGCTGCCGGCGCCGTGGTAGCTGGCGGCGCTGCAGCTTTGTACTCGCAGCGGGAGAAGCTCAGTGCTGGGTGGAGGTGGGCGAGTGATCATCTCCTCTTTGTGGGCGAACTCTTCAAGCCGGAGAACTTGCGAAAGCGAGTTGAAAGCATTGAGAATGAATGCCAGGAGCGAGGTGGCGGATGTGCTAACCTCTATACTAACCTCGGCCAGGGAGCCAGGGGCGGATATGGCATCACGGAGAGCGTAGCAGGAAAGGAACGGACGTTCTGCAACCTGCCAGTCCACGTCAGCCGTGACCGCAAAGAGATCAAACAAGGGGCGGACGAATCGAAGCCGAGTCGATTCAAATGGATCAAGGCGGTCAATGAAAAGGCTCCCGATGAGACCAGCGCCCATGTGTCCATGTTTCTCCCACGCGACAATCCAGGATTTTACGCATTGGGCGAGAGGGCAAAGGAATGCATAACTTCCTGGGTTGACCAGAGCTGGTATGGGACGAGCAACGGACCGACGTTTCTGAAGCCAAATCACACCATTGGGCTAGGCGAGTCACCTGGCAGTGGATGGGTCAAGCCGGACGCCGACGAAATCAGAGCCCAGGAGAGAGCTAGAGACCGGTACGGTAAGTCCTACCAGCATCCAGAGCCAGACGTCGACGGGACCTTGGGCAAGGACTGGGATCCTGTCGACGTGCGGCGTGGCAAGGATGGGATTGATGACTTTCTCGATGACGAGGACGTCAGAATGAGAGATGAAGAGCTCGATGACAGCGTCATTATCGAGAACAAGGCCGCCGAAGGGGAGATTCCACTGCCCAAGCCAAGGAGCAATACAGGCTTGTGAGGGGTTGGACTGTCCCTCCCGGTTGCAGAGTGAGGCCAATAGGGCGAACGCAACACGAAGGATGACGAAGGACTGAGGCATGAGGGATGTTAGATACCCACGGTTACATCAGTACTGGACAAAAGAGCGAAGGTTAGAGACCAAGATACACATGGAAGATTGGAACTTCCTAGGGGACCAGGCATCTCTCAGTCGTGCAGAGTAGAGGAAATTCTTGGGTTCGAGCTTGTGGTCAATGGCTTTTGAGTTGCTAACCGAGTCCTTCGAGTTCAGACTTGGATCAGATCTAGAGATATCTTCTCTGGGTTCTTCAGAATGGCAACGCTGGCACATCTGATCCAACATGCATCAACACGCATCACTGTCCTTTCAGGCGCCCTTTCAACCAGTGCCACTCTGCTCTTCAATGCCTTTCTTATTCGGGATTCTCTGCTGTCCTTCTTGAGCCATCCCTTCGCACCCAGTGAGCTTTCCTGCGGTATTCTCGACGGTACCCAATATTGATGACTGCGTCGGTTGTCCGTCCGAATGTGCTTTGGCGTCCTTCATCTGCTGGACGGCCTCGGCTTTGGTTTGTTCTCCGGATTCATACCCGAGGGTGGAGGAGACGACCCCTTGGACGTACTGTTTCGGTAGGGTCAGTCAAACATACGCTCGGTGCTTTGTCATGTTGTGCGTATTTCATTCACCTTGGCGTGACCACCAATCATGGAGGGTTGTGAGTCTGAAGATTGGTTCGAAGACATCTTTTTCCACAGTTGTGATTCAACGGGTATCCGTACTTGCTATCAAGGTGATATAACCTGGAGTTGTCTCTTGGCTTGTTGAGAAGGAAAATAGAGAGGGCGACAGTTGTAGCAGGCGAGGCAGGGTACGCGAGAAGCTCGAGTCCCTTGGGTAAACGCCTCTCATCGATGACGGCGCTCATCGAGCGACAAAGACCGATGATGTCACACGGAGCTTATCGTACAATCAGGGGTGCCTATCTTCACGTGCCCTCGGAATTCTTCCCCCTTTGAGCCATCAGTTTGGTTTGAAGGAAGACGAGAACCGAGGCTCGTCTGTATCTCGTCGTGCTCTACCGCTGCTTTTCACGCCCCGTACTTAAACTGGCTTCTGACCCCCTGCAAGACATTTGATGATGGAGCCCGCACGGGCTATTACGATTCTCTTCTCGATACAATGACTGCATGCTTGCGAAGCGCTTTGCCTTGTCGGTGAAACACGTGGCCACCCATTCGTACAATCGTTCAGACGAGCTTTAATTAGCCAGCAATGACAACCAAATTCGAGGTGCTCAAGGGCAAGAAGCCCGTCTCATGGAGGCTTCTGATGGCTCTCAAACAGACAGGAGATGACGTGTTTGAGTCACTGACTCCCGCTTGGCCGCCAGCACCTTTCAAGCGAGCATTTGGTGGACACGTCTATGCTCAAGCTGTGTATGCCGCCAGTAAAACCGTGGAGAAAGGGCTAGTTGTCCATGTGTGTGTGTTCCACTGGTCCCCCACGCCCTGCCCGCGTGTGGATTTTTGGTCAGGTGAACAAACTGACAGATATATATTGGGGGATCTAGCAAGTGACAGGATATTTCCTCCTCCCGGGTGCCATCGACGTCCCGTACGTGTACCGCATCAGGAGGATCAGAGACGGCGGCATGTACTGCCTGCGAGGCGTGGACGTGTACCAACACTCCGAGGCGGCCGCGCAGGGCACCACGCCCTGCTTCTCAGCCATGGTCTCCTTCAAGAGGTCCGAGCAGGGAAGCAAGAAATGGGCCGGGTACGAGTATCAAAACGTGGCCCCGGACCATGTCAGGACACAGTACGCCAACGTCCTAGAGGCCCTCAAGCCCGAAGACCACCCCTTGGCACCCGGAGCCGATGCCCAGTGGTGGGAGGAAGAGGAGCAAGAATCGTGGAGCCGCGATGCGGCTGCCTTTCCCGGGGTCGAAACGAGAAAGGTCGACATGGCCAAGTACAATGGCAAGGTCCGACCCGGGGGTGGGACGGACGGGGCAGAAACAGCTCGATATCGCCAACTCCTCTTCTATCGACTCATTCAGGACGACGACGATCTTGCCAGTAAAGAAGAAGAAGAGCAGGAGAAAGGACACGCCCTTGACTTGAATCTACAGGCTGCGGCCCATCTCTACGCTTCGGACAGGAATTCTCTCTTTCTGTTGCCACGTGCTCTCGGCTACGAGACCGTCCGCACGACAATGGCGTCGTTGTCACACACGGTCATCTTCCACGGCTCGGCAGATCATCTGGCCATGGTCGACCGGGATGGAAATTCGAAATGGTTCGTGCAGGAGGCGTGGACCAGCCACGGCGGCGACAATCGAGGCTGCCACAATAGCCTGCTATGGGATTGGAGTACCGGGAGGGTCATCGCCACCACGATCCAAGACGGTATGATTCGGTTACCGGCCGAGTTGGTGGAAAAGGTCAAGAAGGAGCACCACGATAAGGGATCAGGAAGCAAGCTGTAACTTGTAAGCTGTGAGTTGCAAGCCCTTAAGGAACACTTCTATCAAGTGTCTGTCAGAGTCCAGCCGTCGATGACATTGACGCTCTCCAAGACTCGAGATCCGCCATCGATTGAGGTACTGGTACGGGTAGAGGTACTGGTTCAGGTACGGATAGAGGTACTGGTTCAGGTACGGGAACAGGAGCCGTGCTTGAATCTTGACCAGTCCACCTCTTGGAACTCACGCCATATCCTATACGGCGTGGATTGGTGTGTAGTCGCAAGTACTAGTACTGCGCAAGGGGCACTCGTGCTACATGACTACACCAAGAGGAACCGGGAACTGATAAGTCGGCTGGCACAGTGGCCTTGAGCCGATCAACATCGACAAATTTCCCTCATGAATTGTTTTGGTTCCCTTTTCTGCGTCACCACACGGGCTATATGTCCGTCGACGTATATTTCTAGTCTAGTAGAGGTATACCCAGAGGTGGTGGCAATGTGTTTCAATCCAGTACTCTTAAGGACAGTGGATGCCGTATAGCGTACAGCGTACAGTACATCATCGGTGTGTGATTCGCACTTCATCCATGTCTCCCAACCAGAGTTCGAAAGCCCGCAAGGTATACAGGTAGGCACGGTACAATGAAGTACAATAAAGTAAGCAGCAGCACCCCTGCGCCACTCCCATGTTCAAACCGTTGCGTGTACCTTGTTCAGGCGGGGGTTTTGCCCACTGTGGCCAGCGGCCTGAAGACCCTACATATCCGATATTCGAGCAGCCAAGTGAATTATAGGACAGGTCGTGCAAGAAAAGTAATAGATGGGAGGGCTTCGCCGAAGCACAACATCGTACAGAACTGTGGTCTGTTGCGTTGTGATTTGCCTGTTGTTTATGATCATGTCTTTAGGCTCGACGAGGCCAGAGACGGCATCTGTCCTGAGCGACTTGGGCCACGTGGGCCAAGCTTGTAGGCTTGTACGTTTTGGTAGGTACGGTATGTTCGGCTTGACGATAGGGAACAGGAAGTTGGCAATGATGTCGAGATTGCGGTTCCGGGACGGTACACTCGATGCTGTGGGATGCTTATGTTACCTTGGAGTAGCGGAAAATCCATGCCAGTCGGGAGGCTGTGGTCCTGCGCATGGTCTTTGCTGGTGTGCTGGTCAGTGAGTGTCAAGTCACTGAATGGTCAAGGGTTGTTGAGGAGTATCCTCTTCGAAAAATGCTGGCTCGCTGATGAAAGCCCATATCTTCCGTAGTATGTTGATCCGATTGTCTCTGGAGCGTCGCACAGGGCTGTCTGAAAGGCGACTCCCTTCGCCAGCAGCAGCTATGGATGATGAATGATCCTAGATACCTCCGTGGGGAGTTGAAATGTCTAACCGGTCAACCAAACCTTTTTGCTGGTCTCAGCGTATCTGTATCAACGCTGAGCGGACATTTGTGGTTTTGTCCCTCACGGACGCTTCGAGTCGGATGCCGAGGACAGCCTTGTGAAGGCAGCTGAGCGTCCTCAAGTCGACGGCCGAATATGTCCCCTCAAGCCAGCCATAACAGCCTTCCGACATCGGAAAGTATTGTCTGTTGATTCTGTGATTTCCCGCCGTACGAGCCACGCACGGGAGGGAGCTGAACAGAGTCGCTGGCTATTGAACGCGGAGATCCTTTGCCTTCATTGCTTGGTTTAGCTCGTTGTTATTGTGGTGACCCTGTTCATGTTCAGCAGCACAATATCAAACACCCTTATCAAGTCCTAGTCTGGCCCAATCAGGCCGAGAGCTCTTCTTTGTGCTACCCTCAGCTTCAAGTGGTTGGTGGCTGCTGCCTGGCAGTTCGTGCAGAACGGGATGACTTGCCATGAGCTCGGACGGTGGTTCTTTCTGCATATCCGCCGAGAGCTCGGATCTTGCTGTCGGCTTAGCTCCCTGTATGCCATCCAGCTCTGGTTTGGAAAATGGCGTTTGGGTTGGCACGGTCTTCTTGTACCTCCGTCCTTCTCGCCTGAACATATGGCAGCACAGTGCAATAAAGGCCAGTCCGACCACCCCGACACCGATCCCAATGCCCGCTTTCGCGCCCGGAGAGAGTGGCTGTTATGATCAACACCATACCAGAACGTTATGTAAAACACGCCGTCCATACCTGGGCCGGCTGCTCCTCTTTTATCAGAAAATGCGCCGATTCCGTGAGAAATTGGCCCTGTTCAGCACGTGATTTTGGAGTTGTGAACGTGAAGCAGTATTCTCCCCTGTGTAACAGAGGTCAAAGTCCGGCCGACTATGCATCATCTCCTTGGGGGGAGGGTTGGACAGGCGTACGTTTCTATTGACCGCGAACCGTTCGAGGACAGCGCCGTCGGCCACGAGGAGAAGTCGTAGCGGCATGGAGGGACCGCAACGTGCGCGAAATAGGTGGCATTGCCGCCTTCCTTCTGGAGCCAGATGTCGCACTCGGAGGGGTCGCCACTGCAAAACGTCGACACACGGTCAGTCTCCACGTCTCAGGCGAGGACTCTGCGCGCTCACGGCTCTTGCTGCCACTCGATCCACCTCGGACCTGGACTGGAATTGTAAGTTGCGCCGTCTGTAGGCACGGTCACGATGATGGCCAAGCCGCATGGGGCAAGAGCAAGGAGAATGAGCGGAAAGAACATTTGGCAAGCCATGCTAAGTACGGGCAGAGACAGAATCGCTCGAGAGAAAATCGAACGCAAGGCGAGTTTTCATTGTTTTAGCTGTTCCTTTCAAGCGATTCCCCCAGCTCGTGTTCTGCACGGTTCATGACAAGCCATTTCCTTGGCTTGGCGGGTTGATTCGATTCAGCTGGGTCGAGATCGATGCTTTGACCAGGTCAATACGAGACAAGCCCCTCATGAATCAGCGTCAAAGCGGTAAGCGACCGCATCGCAGACACGGCCTGCTTGGGTCCATTTGCGGGGGGGAGCGGCGCTGGACACAAAACGCGCCGTTGTGCCTGACCATCGATATTGTCGTCGATGTCGGGAGGATGGAGAAGAGCCGTAGGAGCGTCAGCTCTCAAGTCCGAAGGCCTGGTGCCAAGCTTCGATTGAGTGCCACGTTGCTTACTCGCTGCTACTGTCGCTCGCTTATCTATCGAGCCCTTTGTGACAAACCCTTCACTCCCGATCTGAGATTCTCCGGGAACTCCGCTTCTATAAATTACACCTGGAACTTGCGCTGAGCGTGGCGTCAAGAGCCGTCCTGTCTCGCAAATCTGGTGCCGTCGTTGAAGAGGCTGTGGACGCCGGTGAATCGTGTAACACCTCCCAGTTACTCTCTTGCAGATAGACGCAACGCAGTTCCGTCGACAGGAAACCTTAAGATCTAGAACCACGAATATGGCGATCGAGATAAAGCCGATAAGCGCAAGTGATATCCCTTCGGCGGTCGAATGCATCCAGCAAGCATTTGCCGACGACCCGTATTACCTATGGGCTTTCGACGCATCTAGGTTCAACAAGCAGAGGAACTTCGCCAGTCTCAAGGCCAAGTGCGAGTGGGGGATGCGCAATGCCCTGTTCTATGTCGCAAAAGACCCGGAGGACAAGGATGGCAAGGTGCTCGGAGTCAGCATGTGGATGAAGCCAAGGCATGCGGACCAGAAGCAAACGTGGTCGGAGTGGCTCGACGATTATGTCCTCTGGTTCAAGCAGGGATTGAACCTTCTCTGGTACGGCGGACGCGGCGGATTGAGAACGAATCGATACTGGATCTGGAAGCGGGAACAGGCTATTGCTCAGTCCGAAACCTGGACCGATCCTCACGGGTACTACTTTTGCAACATTGTCACGGTCAGGCCGGGCATCCAGGGCAAGGGGATTGGCCGCCAGCTGTTTGAGATCGTGACCAAGATGGCCGATCAGGAACAGCGCAAGTGCTACCTCGAGTCATCCAAGGAGAAGCCGAACATCGCCATCTATGAGAAGATGGGCTTTCGACTGGCTCGGAAGATGGTCTGCGAGGAGGGAGGAGACGTTTGCGATCTGTTCTGTATGGTCAGAGAACCGCAACCAAAGCCGTAAACACTGAGACTCCAGGAAAGGCGCGGCCATGGTCATCCTGCGTCAGTGCTGCATGGGAGATACTTATCGCTCGCTGAGGGGCCATGTCATCCTCTCAGCGACCATGTCCCCTCAATTCACCAGCACATCCGTGGCGCCAGGAGAACCTCAACTCACAAGGAAGCGCCATTCATGTTGAATGCTGCAGGCGAGTCTAGTGGACGAGATCACCTCTACTCGGCCGACTGGTTCACGTGATCCTTCTGTCCATGGGCATCTCAGACTGGAAGGGAGGACAATCCATGAAGGGGAGAGTCTCTTTCGGGGCCTCCTTCGAAGCATGCATTGAAGCCTGGCTGACGCAGCGACATTAGCTTCTCCCCCGGTCTGCCTCTAACGGCATCCCGCATGGACGGCGGATGAGGTTGATTATACTGGTAAAGACGAAGACAGGACGAGGAAGGTTTACTATTTGACCTTCTCATTTCGGATGGCGACATGTCGAGGACTCCGGTGCATCTCTCTTGCTCTCGAAGTAGAACCAGATTACTATTGATGTGTCTCGAAGGGATCCTTCCTGCGTCGGCTGGCAAGGATCGACGGCCACCATCACGACGAAACGGTCAAGTTATTAGTAACAAAGGCTGATATGGGACTTTGGAGGAGCTGAAAATGACATATTCTCCCGACCACTGGGACCCTTCTATTGCATGCTTTCCTTGATATTTCTGGGAGACGGCAGGGACCCGAGTACCTCTGTGCGGCGATTCCAGGGCAAAGTTTTACTAATCAGATTCATCGTTATACTACAATCGAAAAGAACATGTAACCCCCTTCTGTGGATTGCGCAAACAACCTGAAGCCTGCATGCAATGCTGACTCCACGGTTTCGTTCCTGAGGATTGCTCAGCATCCTGTATACGATGACTGGCCGATCGAACCGTTTGACAGAAGCCCGGATTTTCCATGCTCGGTAGAGACAGCTGCCAGATGCGAACGAGATTTGTCGAAAACAGGCAAAACCTTGACTTCAAACCCCGACCCGGAGATATAGACGCTCTATTGGGTGTATGGTACTGGAGCAAGCTCTTTTGTCCGAACCCTTTCTACTACCCCCGGTAGTCGGGACCCGGCATTGGCTAGATGGTGTGCACGTACATCCAGTTGGGTACCTAGCTCGTTAAAGGCTCGTCTGTATGCCTACTCGTATACGGTCATTGCTAGCAAGAAATCCTCGGATTAGTAAACCTAAGAACTCCGCTACCTGCCCGCGTGAAGTCACAGCCCAGATATTGTCGTATGCTACCCAGACGACGAGATAACCGAGTGACGGACACTGGCCTCTGCGTGGTCTGCATGGTCATAGCCATCTCGCCGAGAAGGTGTACTCCGTACAGCAGCAGTAGCAGTAAAATTCTGGACACAAGAGATCTCGCCCCGGCGATACGAGCTACCAGAAGCGGCCGCAAAAGCAAGCATCCCGCCCGAGTGCGTACCAATCACAACAGGGAGTCTGCGTACGTAAGTCTCCTGCATAGGTAGCGTATCTTGCAAGGTTGTGGACAGAGCGCCGCAAGCTTCTCGCTCAGGGTTGCAGGGATCCTGGAGGATTGAGTTTTGACATCATCAGTCGACCGACCCACCTCCAGTGACCTCAAAGTGCTGGTTGACTCTATCTCCAGCTGGGCAAGGATATAAAAGTCCAGGTCCCGGTGGCCTTGGAAAACCCAGATCGAATCCACTTGCCACCCAGGCTTCGATATACTTCCAAAGCCAGCCAGGTTCCATCTCTCTGATCGCTCGTCCCATCCATCATGGCATCAGCACCAAATCTTCCTGCAGAATACAAGGTCGGCGTCTTCGAGGCCAAGGGCGAACCGATCAAGTTCAAGCAGGTAAAACTTGAATTGCCAAAGCCGGGAGAGGTATGCATGGCTAGGACATCTGGTTCTGTCGGCGATCTGGACTGACCAGCCCAGGTCCTGGTCAAGGTTCTTGCTTGTGGTGTCTGTCATTCCGACCATGCCGTTCGCTTCGGCCTGTTTGGCAATAGCTTCCCAATCGTCCCCGGCCACGAGGTCATTGGAGAAGTCGCTGCCATCCCAGACACAGAGAAGAAATGGAAGGTTGGCGATCATGTTGGTGGACCCTGGCATGGCGGCCACGACCAAACCTGCGTCCCCTGTCAACGAGGCTTGTTCCAGATGTGCGAGAACGAGGCCATCAACGGAGTCACCAGGGATGGAGTACGCACGTTCTCGGTTGTGTACCGGACAGCATACTGACCCGATTTTCAGGGGTATGGAGAATACGTGACTCTGAGGACCGAAGCAGTCGTCCGGATTCCCAGCGACGCAGATCCTGCCGAGTACTGCCCCTTACTGTGCGCCGGAGTGACAGTCTTCAATTGTGAGTCTGTCCTCTCTCCGCAAGGTGCGGCTTACTGACGTCGAAAAGCTCTCCGACAACAAAAGGTTCTCGCAGGATCAACCGTCGCGGTGCAAGGTTTAGGTGGTTTGGGCCACCTGGCGTTGCAATATGCCAGCAAAGCGGGATACAGGACGGTTGCCATCTCCTCCAGCGCAGACAAGAAGGACTTCGCCACGCAGTTGGGCGCTCACGACTACATTGACGCATCCAAGGGTGACGTTGGCGAACAACTTCAGAAACTGGGCGGAGCATCGTGCATTCTATTCACGGCCCCCAACGAGAAACTCATTCCTTCGCTGCTCAACGGCTTGGGACCTCTGGGCAAACTGATCGTTCTGGCTGCGGCAGGACCGGTCGAGGTGAACACGGCGTCCATGATCGGCAAGGGATTGAGCATCCAGGCATGGCCCAGCGGACACGCTCTCGACAGCGAGGAAGCAATCTCTTTTGCTCAGGTGCACGGCGTCCACTGCATGATTGAGAAATTCCCACTCGACAAAGCCAACGAGGCCATGGAGAAGATGACCAGTGGCAAAGTCAGGTTCCGTGGGGTGCTCATCCCATAGATGGGCTGTCGAGAAGCAACAGGGCGCTTCCAAACCAGGACACCAGGACAGTTATCCTACTCCTTTCGCTATGTAGAGGGTAGGTAGTCTTGGACGCCGCAAATGAACTGTTTCGTACCAGCGACTTCGTAGCATCATCGCCCGAGTTCCGAACCGTCGAATCGATCTGGCCGTGCGTGCGAGAAACAAGCACCAGCACGGCCTTTGGCAGTCAATGGTGACGCAGGCGCCGTGAAGCTTCTCGTCGGCGTGCGATGAAACAGCCGTAAAGTGACCCTCAACCCCCCTGTCATCCCTCGGCGCCACGATGCCGCCGTCCACCAATCAATCGCCCTCGGTTCCTGGCGATCATACACTTCCTGCTGCACCTCTTCACCCGTCAACATCGTCTTCAGCATAGCGTCAGGGTCACCACCGTCGCAGAATGAGGTCCCACCAACCGTGACGACTCGTCAAAGACGTCGTGCCAGCCGCCCAAGCGATGGCGCTTCACGGCCAACGCCCATGCCGCATGCAGGAGGACAGGTTGGCGGTCACTATTCTCTATGACCGCATCCACGGGGGTCCAGCTGAGTTCTGTGCATCAGAACTGACGGGGAGAGGATCTGGAACCATAGATCGCGTCCCCCCTGTCTCTGTTCCTTGCGCAATTGAAGCAGCAGGCTGGACTATCCGTCATACTGAAAGATCCGATAGCTGACCCCCAAGCTACCAGAAGCACTGAAGAAGCCTGTAATATCCTAGACCTCCCAACCCACGGTTTCCGACCCCCCAGAGTAACCCTCAGCCTTCAACGGAGTTTCAAGAGGCGGACATCTGACTCGCAGGCAGAGGTATAGACTCGAGCGGCACGACGGTGGCAACCACATCAGGCTGAGCATCTTTGATTGCGATCGGCGAGGATCTGTCACAACCCACTCCAGACACCCACCAGATCGTCATCTGCCTGATTACACAGCGTCAATCCGAGTTGGGGCGGGTCGGGACTGACGGACGGTCGTGTTGATCTGGCTGCTCGCGAAGAGAAGAGTGTCGGCTTTGCTATTCGCTGACATCGAGCGACCGCTGGGAAAGGCAGAGCAGCTGGCGCCGGGGCGGTCTGAAGCGTGAGCAAGGGACGTTGGTACAGACAGACAAACATCACGACTTCTTCCTGCGCGACAGGGAACCGGATCTCGACTCACCTCTTTCTCGCCATCACTTCGTCACGCGCATCGGGGATGCAACTCGGTCCAGCAACGCAGCGGTGACTGCGTGCTTGCATTGTCGTGACGGCCGTCTTCCTTCACTTCCCTCTGGCTTATTTCACCTGCGCTGTCTCGAGAGCGGTCACTCGAGTGGACAAGATTCTGCCAGACACTGTAAACAACAGCAATCGCTACCACAGTCGACAGTCCGTCTGCGGAACAATCGACAATTCATCTGCGACACAACCTGGCTCCATCATATAGCCCTTGGTAACAAACATCGCCTCTACCATGGAGTTACGGTCGCACGCCCGACTGTCACTTGCCCTTCTTCTATATGCCATCGTCCAGACATCATCGGCCTCGGCCTCATTCCCCTCGATCCAACCCATCGTCGGCTTTTCAACGCCGTGCACACTTGCCTACGACACGCCAGTGAACCTCTGCGACAACGACGATTTCCAAGGCATTGGTGGCAAGGGATCCTGCTCGGCTGCATGTCAGGCGAATCTGGTTGCCTCGCAGGGATTTGTTCAGCGGCTGTGTGCGGGACAACAGGCGGACGGGAACAGCATTATTGGCCACCTCTTCTCGGGCGACATTGTCGATTTCCTATGCGGCGACAACACCGATGCTGCATCAACCACGGCGACTACCGCCCAGACTACCCTGCCCAGTAGTTCAGTACAATCGACTATGAGCATGGCGGTTGATACGATGCCTCCGGACACGAGCACTGGAGTGACTCCGTCAAGTTCGACAACAACCACAACTGCCACTAGTTCCAGCAGGACTGGATCCGGTAGCGGAACAATATTGACCACCACAAGCACGAGACCGGCCTCCTCAACCTCCAGCTCAGTACCAGCCTCCGTTGAATCTGAGACGTCAAGCTTGGCGCCTGCGTCGTCGTCATCAGAGACCTCCAGTACGTCAAGTTCGGCTTCTGCGACGAGCACTTCGAACTCTCAGGGGTCGGCAGGCGGGAGTGGTGGCGGCAGCCCTTTCGACAGCACTTTTAGCGGAAGTGCCTCGTCACCACTGATGCAGGTGAAACTGCTGTCACTGTCATGCCTGGTGGCACTGGTATTAGCGGTATCATGAAGTGGCCTAGACCAGCGGCGAGACGGGAATACACTAAAATCCAGCGATGCGGGAGGACACATATCCATCCCAGCAACCTCTTGGTTTCGACGAGCCGGATGTCCTTTTGCGTTCGTGCATTGGAGAGAAAGAGCAACGTGCTGCAAAACAACCAAGAAACATAATTTTGGGGAAAGATGCGCAGAGATAACGAGGAACAGTTAATGTCTATGCATACGGGAGAGCGGCATGTACCAACGAACAGAGATGATGATGACGATGACTATGGCGACGACAAGCTTACCCAGCGCGGTATGACACCAGGGGCGCGACGCGAGCCGCAATATCGGCATCCTTTTTGACTGGCGTTTCTGCAACTATGGGCCGAGACTGGAACATCTTTGTTGCTAAGGAGCTTTCGAGTGTCACACACTGAGGCCTAGGAGTTGGACAAGCAATACAGCTAACCGTCTGCCTGCCTGTGTGTCTGTCCATTGGCGAGCAGGACTCCCGGACTTGTATCATGATACCGATATCACGATGGCGACGAACACATGTACCAACACGCAGAGGGCAACATGGCACATGAGGGATCCGTCTTGAAAAGGAGCGCATGCCCGTGAGCTGAGGCTGTCCTCTCGACGAGGCACCAGCAAATAAATAACCAAGCTACGACAGAAACAGAAGATAAAATCCACCCTGAATAAAAGGCGACTGCACGAATGAAGAAACACGTTGCTTTGATCGAGTAGATCCGTGAAAGATACAGAGTAGTGTTGCTTCGTCTGTGTCTGCCCAGATTGTATGAGCTCCCCCGTCTTCCACATCTGTATGCACATGTTTCATATACATTATGCTCTCCTGACCAGTAGATCCGACTGCAGCTGATATGCAACTGACTGCTGCTGGTATGTCAACAGTCGCTCTCGGTCTTGGTCGCTATATCCTGTTCCCTTCGTCTCACCCACTCCCTCGAATGAACACCGACTCTGTCTTTCTCGTCGAGTTCGCTCCTATCGAGCGGACGGGTGAACAACCTGGTAACCTCCAGCAATGCGTTGACTCCCTTTCTCGTACGCCTTGCCTTGCCTCCTTCCTCCTGACAAATCCACCGTCGCATCTCTTTCGTCCTCGGATCTTAGGCATTCTGAGGGCTGTTGCTGCTGCTACAGCATATTTCTGACGTGTTCCCGTGCCAACATGGCGAGTAAGTCTGCGGATCTGGAAATATGGTCATGGATGGGGCATTGACCTTCGTGCTGTGTGAGAGAGGGAGATTGACCTTCGTGGTGACTGAATGAGTGAGTGGTGGATGTTGAGCCAGCCCGGTCGATAAGCTGCCTCACCAGCATCTCAGCCCCGTCGGCGTCTAAGGGCCTGTGGGCTATGTCGTCTTCAGTGTCGTCGGTTTCTGTTGAGTTGATACGTCGGGACATATCAAGACAGCTCGCGCCACCCGCAGAGGCGAAAAGTCGACACCCTGTCGTAGTTCCGAGTTCGACTTTGACTGCCGACTTCGAGTACCTCGTTCCTCGTACCACGTACCACTCCGTTCCTTCGTCAACCCTCATATCTTAAGCTCGCCCATCAACTCCTCGATCGACCTCTCCACCGTAGCCATCATGTCGACGTCTCCCTTGCCATTATGCCCTGGTCTCGCTCCCGTTGTCGGTTCCAATGCCATCCCACCACCGGGCCCTAGCTCACCGAGCCTCAACCTCCCCAGATTGTCCTCCAAATAAGCCAACATGACGCCCCGGGCCTCGTCGTACTGTCTGCTCCGCCGGCCCCACGTGCCGACGATCAAGTTGAGATTCGACCGGATCGTATCCAGCACGAGATTCCATTGCTCCAGACTAGGCTGGACGTCCGTCTGGTTTGGCGTCGCTGGAACTTGTGGCCCGGAAAGCTGAGATTGGGCTTGAGCTTGGCCTTGAGCTTGAGGCTGAGGCTGAGGCTGAGGCTGACCCGGCCCGGGATCCGAGTGAGGAGATCTTTTCATGCCGATGTTGATGCTGGTGTGTCGGTCTTGCTGCCGCAGGAGCTGGCACTCTCGTGGCTGGTCGGGATCCAGATTATGGTGACTCTGTTCTAAGCGTGTGAGTACGGTCGAGGTGTGTTGGACGATGGAGGGCGAGAGACCCATACTCTGATCCCATAGACTATCTGTCCTGGCCTGACTCGTCTAAGCTTGAGCCTGTAGATCGGCGTGGTATAGTGCGCACATTTCGCGGGATTTGCAAGTGGTGATCCAAAATTTGTACAGTACTCTGTACTGCACTCGTAAAGGGAATGGAGGGGATTGATACTGGTTGACAGGGGGTGGCGGGGTAATTACAGTATTCGTGCTGTTGACGTCGAGGGCTACTGTAAATTGGACGCTTGATGTATGTATGCATGTACTTGGTTCAGCTCGCTGTACGCAGTCGTGGTACAGTAGTATGTATGTATGTGACTGAGAGTGTTTTCTACTTCGCATCGGTTTCTTCGTACTGCTCTTCGTCTTCTCTGCCAATTCTACGCTCTTCGCGCGCGCTGAGTTACCATCAATGCTTCCTCCCCGGATGGTACGGAGTACATGATTCTGAGTACATCTGCCCCATTCGGACCGGGACAGGGTTACTGTAGCACTCCACTTCGAGTCCTTGATTGCGAGTGTAGACCGACCTGGGGCAGAATTGCTCCATGTAAGCTCACGTGGCATTTGAAGGACGACTCCTCCTCCTCCTCCTCCCCTCGTCGGCTTTGAGAGGTCAGCGCCGTCAATGCAACTCATGGGGGCATAGGCTATAGCACAAATACATCAGACCAGAGGCTACGCTCCTTCAAGTACGGAGTGCGCAAAACCCGTCGATGTCAGAGGATTGATCGACTGACCACACCAGACGGCCTCCACATCTAGACTGCTGGCCTGCCGTCCAAAAGTGAATCACGTTCCATTTGATCCATGTATACTCCATACCCCGTCACCCCAGGCGTTGACGCCGTGCATGGAAGGGGAGGAAGTGGAGGAAGTAAAGGAAACAGAGAACACACGCTCATCATCCATTCGAGCGCTGATAAACGACGTGTCCACACAATGAAGGGCACAAGTATTGGGTAATGTGCTGACCTCTGTCACAAAGAACACGACCTAGCTGGGAAGTGGGAAGGAAAGACGACGGGGCTTATGAGGGAGCACCGGGTATAAGGTACAGTACTGCATCTTCCCAATTCGACATCTAGGTGCTATTGCTGCTGCTGTGATGCTGCTGGCATGTCACTTATGTACGGTACCATCAGTTCCTTCGCGGCAGCCCAGGGGAATATGACCTTCCCAGCAGTTCAAGGCGGATATGATCTTCCCAGCAGTTCAAGGCGGATATGATCTTCCAATGTCTCAGAAATCAGCGAGGGAGATAGTACCACGCGGGACTTTCAGGCTAACGGACGGACTTGCGGGCGTTCCTGTAGCTGGGAAGATACTGCATCCGCGTCTGCTTCTGCTTCTGCTTCTGCTCGGCACAGCACACCACAGCAGCAGACCAGGTATTTCACAGATATTCAAGAAAGAACCGATCCAGAGAGGGCGTCAATGACTCATCGCCTCGTCGTGGCACTGTAGGCGCTGGTCCTGGGCTCATATGGGCTCCGGTGCGGCTCCGGCGCGGCTCTGGCGCAGTTCCGGGCAACGACTGGATCTCAAGGAGCGTCGAATCGATCGTTGGAGGGCGTCGATGTGAAGGAACGGATGGGGGGCCTGGACTGTCAGGCCAGGTAGGTCATCTTACACCTGAGAGTCCTTCCACGCGTCTGTCGTTGAGGCTGCGCTCCGTGTCGTGGGTGCTCCCTGCTCCTGTACTGTAGTGTAAGTGCTCCCTGCTACTGTGCTGTGACTGCTCGCTGGATCGAGTCGACCAGATCAACGTTGACCACAATACAGGGAAAAAGCAAAACACAAAACATAAAAAGCAAGGACCTCTCACGAGCACATGGACCTGCCGTCTTTGCAGAAGTTGAAAGATAAATTCTTCTCATTACCCCCTCTGGGTTGTTCCGTAGCTCGTAGTCGAAGCCTATGATATCGCCGGTGCCCAAGATTGTCCCCGTCCCGACCGATTCCTTCCAACCCAACGCCTTGCATGTTCAAAACAGTAATCGGGCATAAAATATCAAAGTTGGCTTCTCAGCTTGTTGATGTACTGAGGTCTGCGCGGCAACGGATCCGGATCCGGATCCGCTTGCTTTTCAGCTCGCTCAGAGCTCCAGATTCTGAGCCAGCATAAGGACCGGTGCCTTCTTCCCGTGTACGCCGAGCACTTAAACCGATGGTTGGTGCTCCTCTGCTCGAGCCGGTATCCCATCGCAATGGTCGGTGGGTTCTGCCCGCCTCTTCCAATGGAGGGCCCATGAGGAGGATCTTTGGTGATGCGAGCATTATTTCCCCCCTTACTGCCCTTTCATGTCACTGGTGCTTAATACCGTGGCAGCATGAAGCGTTACCTTCCTCAACGAAGTCAATGTCCTCCGGCATGTTTCTCTGAAGCAAGTTCACATGCGCCAGGTTGACGGGTTGGGCCATATTTCCATCTCGAAAAAGTGAGCTCCGTATCTCACATAGGAGGCTCTTTCGCAGCCGTATAAAGCTTGGTTCGTTCCTCCACGTCTGTTTTCATGGAGTCCCTTTTCGGGCTTTTCAATCGATCAATGGCTTCTTGGCCGATCCAACTAGTGCCACCCCTAGACAACTCAGCGCGTTAGGATCTGAGGCCCTGATTATGGTGGCCAGAGGAAGCATGGGGTTTTCGGCATTAACATGTGAGGCGTCTCTAGCGGCTTGTTCAATGGCTTCCATTTCGGCTTTGCAAGCGGCATGATCGAGCGGACAGACGACAATGGGCTGTTTCAGGATGATGTCTTTGGCACCTGCCATTGAGGCCTACGAATGCAAAGTCAGCCAGGATCTGTTCCTCGATGCCCACTTTCGCCCGCATCATACATACCTTGATGGTCAGGTAATATTCGACCTTATACAGCCCTGCCGTTGTCGTAAAACCCGTGACCGAATATGTAGGAAACGCTGGTCTCCCCCGCGGCATGATCCCATCCGCGTCGCGCAGATCACTGGATGGAAAAACGAGGCCCAGGTTGGTGAAATACCCTGCCTCGGGCATTTTTACGCCTACGTTCTCGACCTTCTTGACTAGACTTTTCGTCTTCCTTTGTGGTTCGTCGCCTTCGTGATTGTAGATGACTTCCTCGTCGATGCCGATTTCGATCTTCTTGATGGTCACTTTTCGCGCTTTGCTCAACCAATCTGGATTCGGCGATAACTTGATGTACACGCTGACAGGGTCAAGAGGCCCGTATGACCATCGTGGTAACGAGATGCCCAAGGTCACCAAATGATCCGAAACTCGTTCTGCGGCTTCGGGGCGATTGTACATGCCGAACGTCGAAAGGGTGTCGTATCGCGAAATAGGGACGGGAAAAGCAAACGTCTTGCGATCCGTACCTCCATATCCAACGGTGACCACCATCTCGTAGTATGTCTCGGCCGTCCTCCGCGGCAGTTGTAGGCTTGCAGGCGGTACTCTTCTCGCGGTCTCTTGTCCTCCTCGTCCAAAGGGGATGAAGATCACGAACGGCAGGTCCATGTACATGATCTCTTCGTATTCTCGATTGGCGGGACACCGAAACAACAACATCTCTTTCCCCACCGTTTCCGTCGCCTCCTTCCTGGGCGCGGCCAGGTGTTTCTTGGTGACTGAATCGGCATGGGGGTGAATGCTTTCTCGCCTTTGCAGGGAGATGGTTACGATGGAAACGTTGACGGGGCTGGTGATGCCAGCGCCAGGCCGTATTTCGACGGTTCCTTCAATGCGAGGCTACAACACCACAGGTCAGCACGACGGCTCATGCGCCACCGGTCTTTAAAACGGGGAACTTTACCAGCGTGGCAGAGATACCCGGGTATCCGACCAGAAAGTTTGTATTCGGACGGCCAGATACTCGCACAAATGCGCTCATCTTCTCGTCGAGCCAGAGCCTATACTGGGACCATTACCACGGGACCGTGAGGATGTCCGTTGCAAGCGGGTTCTGATAGGTCCGGAGGTGACGAGTTGCGGCGGCCTGGATCTGAGCGACAGTGTGAAGCCCATGAGGCGCCAAGGTCGTTACATGCAGAGAATGAACGATGAATGCGTGGTTATGTGTCTTTGTTTGCCTGGTTCGAAGGGGCTTGTGTGGATGTCCGTCTTTGGTTTGGGTGGAGAATGGAAACAAGGGCCGGCCGCAGGCGCCCAAGACAGTGTCGCCGAGTCGAGATCAATGGCGGGGACGAGACAAGAAGGATGCGGTGGTATTGGGAGAGGGTCTTAAGAATGTTCGGACGAGAGTGGTTGAAGATGAGCTGGACGGGAGTCGGAAGTGAAATGTGAACGCGGCTGTGCCCAGGCGCAGAAGCGACACACGAGGATGGAGGTCAAAGTGGTGTCAGTGCGGAGCGGTGGATGGGCAACTCAGACGTCTGGATTATTCGCAGGTCATCGAGTCGATGCCCAGCAGCGCTGCCCAGGGCCGGATTCGTAGGCACGAGTCGATTGTAGGACACGACACGCAGGCACTTTCCAGCTTGCATCATGGTCGCCTAACAGTGCCCAAAGCCCTATATGACCGCTGCTAAAGACCAAGCACGGAGTACCTAGACCCCAGGACCCCAACCCCCATGGCCCATTTCTTGCCTACAAGCATTGCGCATCCCGCAGAATATTACTGCCGTCTCGTTGATCTACTCCGTCCCCGGCTACGTCAAATGGCGCTTCTCCGTGTCTAGAGCTTCCTGGCAGCCAACACCGCAGGCCACGGAACAGAGCCCTTGGCATCGATCACCTTTATCTCGCTAGGTATTACTCCACCAGTCAGCACCATTCCAGGCTCAGATTACGAAGACCGCAGTCGGTCGGTCAGCCAGTCTCTCAGGATGGCTCTGGTACCTCGTAGGGGAGCTCATCAGGTCTCCTCAGTCCGAGATCTGTGGTCGACTAATCCGATTCTGGCCGTCAAAGACCCGGCGGCTGTTGAAGGGGCCCAAGCTGTTCAGCCTCATCAGCGACGGATTGTCGTCAAGCGGACGCCACAGCGGGCCCCGCACGCCTATCTCGG